CAGCAGCCAGGACACAGCCCCGGGCTGGGGACAGGGTGATCACTGCCCGCCTGGGCAGAGTCCCCAGGCTCTGCTTGGCCATTCCTCAGCCAGCAGATGCCCCCAGCACTCATCCACACCCTCCCCGTCCTCCAGGGCACTCATCCCCAGGGCGGGTACAGGCATTGCCGTACTCTTTTTTCCCGGGGCGCGCAGACCCAGCCGTGGGTGCCCACAAGTCTTCTGCTCATGGTTTGCTGCCCCGGCCATTGTCACAGACGCCGTGGTGATGCGCAGGAGCGCTCCCCTGCCTCCCCGGCTCTGCAGGACCTCCAACCGCCCCGCCGTGCTTGGGGACCATCTCCGTCAGCCCTGCTGCTGCCAGGATGCTCCGCAGCAGGCAGGGAGCTGGCTGGACAGGTTAGGAGGCACACATCCATCTTTCCTCGGCTCCCCCTCCCATGGCCCCAGTCAATATGTCTCTCTCCGATGGGAAAGTTAATAAATTTAGCTCTAGATTAAAAGTATCGATCATTTCATTTGTAAGCGATAAATAACCAGGGGGAGCGCTGGGCGGCCCGCGGGGTAGGGGCTGCTGGCTCCGGCTGCAGCAGTCATGCAGCCCGCTGGGGTCGGGGGCCCTCATATGCATTCTGCCCGGATGCTGGCATTGATTTGCTATTAGTCTCCACGCACCACCCAGTAGCACATCATTCCCGGAGCCGCTATTAATGGCCTTTTGATAAATAATCACTTGTAAGTCAATAAATTTTTATTAAACAGTGTGGCGCTTTGATTTATGAAAATCCGACGGGGTTTGTCTGGGAGAAAAGGGATGCAGAATTGAAGCGGAGCTGCTATCCATCTGCCTGCCAGGCCGCCCTGCCTGCGCTCGCACCCACACACCCCCGCAGCAGTCGGCCCCGAGATCGGCCGCGCTCGGCGGAGCCTGGTCCGAATGCCCCAGGGCTGTCCGGCCCCGGCCACAGGGCAGAAGGCAGGTTTGGGGAGGGCATAGCCAGTGCTCACCGTGTACCAGGCTGCAGTCCAGACCCCCGCGCTGGCCGGGGACTGCTCTGCAGCAGCAAGGCGCAGCAGCAAGTGGCCGGTGCCGTCAGTACGGAAAGGGGGACGGCGGGAGCGGCAGCAGGCAGAAAGGGCAGGAGGGGAGGGTGGTCCTGGCCACGGCCCCGGCCCCCTGCACAGAGCAGCACTGCGCGGGTGTCCCGTCTGGCTGCAGGGATGCACGGGGCAGCCAGGCTGCGGCTGCAATTTGTCACTCTCCCCAGCTGCAGCAGGCCCTTTGCCACCTGCTTTATTTGTCTCCCAGTCCTGACGTGGCATCAGACAGGTGTTAAACTACTTAATCACTTTAAAATTGTTTTAATTTTCTGTTTTGTATTGATCTCCACAGCACCAATTAATCAGCTCACTGGACCAGGCAGTTAGTACATTAAAAATTGTCAGCCACGCTGGGCAGCTTAGAAAATGTCAAAAAAATATCCCGACAGCAGCCCCACACTTCTCCTGCCGTGCGGAGCCTGCTCCTGCCGAGCACCGGCTCTGCCCATGGACGGTGACGTGGCTCTCTCAGCTCTGCCGCAGGTCAAGGTGCATGGGGCACGCGGCCTCCAACCCGGCCCTGGGCACCGCGCTGCCTGTGGGACCTGACCTCCCATGTCCTTGCGAAGGGTCCATCAGCTCTGCCACCCACCGGCAGTTGTCCCATCGAGGCAGCAGAGGGGCTGCATGGCTGAGGTGGAAGCGTGAAGAGCCCCACACTTGCTGGGGGTCTGGACAGGGACCTATGGGGGGAGATCAGTCTTCCCTAAGCCCTGGGAAAGTGCTGCCGAGTGATCAGGGCACCTTCAAATTCCACCCCCCCAGCCCAGCACATGGCGGAAAGCAACAGATTGGAGAGGACTTGAAGCCAAACATGGGTCTAGGGGCCCAGGTAGACAGGTGGCATGGTGATGGTCTGCAGCCCCACACCACAGACCCCCACAACAAGGCTGGTGCTCGGGGTTGCTGCAAAGCACCAGTCCTTCGGGGGCTTTGGCCATCTCCAGGGGTGGAGTTGGCCACCAGCCTGTCCCTGGATGCTGTCTGCAGCCGCAGGCGAGGGCAGCTTGGGTTGCAGCCCCCAACACCTCCTCCGTGCTGGTGCCACGCTGCTAAATCAGTATATGATGGGCCGGCAGCACCTTATCTCCTATCGATTTCCTCCCAGGACGCGGCCAGTCTGTTTACTCACACCTGGCTGGCACTTAGATGGCTCTCAGCTGAACAACTGCTGAGCTTGCCAGGCCCCCGTGCTGTGCCTGCGCCTGCCGGAGTCCCTTCGGCATGCTGAGTGGCTGGGGACAGATGGCCCTGTGCAGCACCCACCCTTGGCACGCAAGGGCTGAGCCACGGGGAGCCAGAGCAGGGGCCGTGCAGCCCCATGTGCACACACATGTGCGTGCACGCAGCCCCTGCCGCTCTGCGGTGCAGCACAGAGACGGGGGAGGCCCACCAGGTTGGCAGCAAACACACCGGGGCTATTGACGCCACATCAATCCTGCAGCCCCGACAGGTGAATGGGCTCTCACTCACACCGTTAAGATAAATGATATTTATTTGCTGCTAATAGGTTCCACCAAGAGGCCCCAACGAGTGACTTTTGAACCAGCACCTCTCGCTGCCGGTGCACGCCCAAACCGGGGAAAACCCTGGGAAACGTCCCCAGGACTGCCCCGCTCCCGTGGGCTCTTCCTGCCCCACACACAGCACCACAGCCACGGCCCCTTCCCCTGCCTGGCACACAGACCCTGCCCCATCCCTGCTCTCCCAGCCCCCTCTCCAGCCCAGCCTCATGGGGGCACCCGGGACCGCGCGCCCGCGAAGCAAGCGCTGGGACTCGGCTGGGACCTTTATTTCATCAATGCCGATAGCTCCGCCGCGCCTGACGCTGCCCACGTGTGCTGCTGCCAGCCCTGTGAGCCGTGATCCCTGGGCAGGTGCCACCAGGAGGAGGGTGGCAGCCGCCCCATCCCCACAGCCGGGTATCTGCTGGGGGTCACCCCCCTGGCAGGAAGCAGGCGGCCGGGCCGGGCGCCCCGTGGCCCAGAGGGGTGGGCTGTGCCGGTGCTCAGCCGCTGTGCGTGCCCAAGCCCAGCACCGAGAAGGCCGCGCGGTGCTTCCTCAGCAGCAGCCGGATCTTCTCGTCATCTGAGTCGGGGTCCAGGGGCTTGTTGTGCTCGTCGTCCTCGGTCTCAGAGGCTGCCCGCTCTCCACCAGAGCCCCCCGCCCGCTGCGAGGACGAGGAGGGCTCCAGGGCACTCTTCTTCCTCCATTTGGTCCGTCGGTTCTGGAACCAGACCTGCCGCCCCAGCTCGGTTAGCAGCCACCCCCCCACACACCCTGTGCCACACAGGGGCCCACACTCACCTTCACCTGGGACTCGGTCATGCCAAGGGAATAGGCCAGCCGTGCCCTCTCGGGACCTGCCAGGTACTTGGTCTGCTCAAAAGTCTTCTCCAGAGCGAAGATCTGGTGCCCTGTGAAGGTCGGGCGCGTGTGTTTCTTCTTATGGATGGTGTCAGCCAGGTGAGCCGGGGCTGCGGGAGAGGAGGAGGGTGAGCACCCGAGCTGTCTGCAGTGCACGGCTCTGGGCAGCTTTTCCCTCCCGGAACATGGCACCAGCACAGCCGCCAGCCCTCAGCACCCACAGAGTCTCTCCACACTGGCCCCCTCTAAATTAAAACTGTATTCTGGGTTCGAGGTTTCAGCCCCATCCCAGCAGGGCTGAGCTGCCCTCTGTGCAGGCCCCACAGAGCCGGAGTCAGGCCATGCACCTCCTGCTCCGGGACAGCGCTAATTTGTTGTACTGAGAGGGGGAAGGGTCATTAGCAGCAGTGCATGACCCTAGAGCTATGCAGCGCCGACAACACCGTGCCCCACAGAACACACGATGGGAAGGCAGGCAGAGCTGGTGGGCTCGTAGCCGTGCCGGGAGTGAAGGACTGTGCTGCCTGACCAGTCTGCTCCAAGAGCATCACCTGGAGAGGGGGGAAGGGGACCATGGCTGCCGGCTCTGAGCAGCTCAGCCCAGACCCTGGCCCGGACCCTCCCGGGGCTCCTCACGGGACAGCAGGTGCACCCATCCCGCCCACCCTCTGGCACGGCAGCAACATGCTCTGCCATCCCCCTGCCAGCTCTCCACCAGGCAGACACCGCTGTCAGCCCAGGGCCGGCCATCCTGCCCATCTCTGCCCCGTGCTGGGCCGGGCACCGACCCCAG